ATCAGGTCCTGAAATTCCACCCTTGATGCCAAGCCCACCTCCTTTACCAATACCACCCCCAAAGCTGGGAACCCCCAGAGAGGTGTCAGGTACTTTTACTCCTCCACCTATGCCTGCATCACCACCAATCTTGGGACCAGAGGCATCACCATCAGGTCCGGAAATTCCACCCTTTATGTCAAGCCCACCTCTCTCACCAATACCACCACCAAAGCTGGGAACTTTGACATCTCCAACCCCCAGTGAGGCATCTGGTATATTCACTCCTCCACCGAGGCCTGCATCACCTCCAATTGTGGGACCAGAAATATCGGTATCAGGTCCTGAAATTCCTCCTTTGATGCCAAGCCCACCAATGCCACCGCCAATGTTGGGAACCTTAACATCTCCTCCAACTCCCAGTGAGGCATCTGGGACATTTACTCCGATGTTTACATCACCGTCTCCTCCGATACCATCATCACCACCTAATGAAGCCTTTGGTCCTGAAACACTAACATCGGGTCCAGAGATTCCTCCCTTAAGGTCAAGTTCACCATCGCCATTCACACCTCCACCAAACCTGAAGTCTGCCTTCTTTGTCTTGACATCTGTATCAACATCTGCTTTCACTACAGCATCAGGAGGTTCAACATTAAATCCCACAACTCCTTTCAGATCAGCATTTGGAACTTCTACTGCTGCATCAGCATTGCCATTTATCTTGCGTTTTCCAAGCTTGGGCAACTTGAATTTTCCTCCCTTCTTGCGTTTAGATGGAGAACTCTTGCCTCCAGCACCAATGTTGAATTTAGCCTCTCCCTCTGGTGAGCCACTGATATCTGCTGATGCATCCAGGTTGGCTCCCACACCACCACTGATATCGGCTCCTGGAGCACCTCCTGATACATCTCCTTTGTGAAGGCTTCCTTGAAGTTTGAGGTTTTTGGTCTCAGCATCAGAGTCTGAATCAGAAGAGTCTGAATCCCCAGTAAAGAACTTTGCTATCTCAGCAAAGAAACCACCTTTCTTTGGAGAATGTCTTTTTGCATCTGGCATGTCAGCTTTGACAGTCACATCAGCTGAAGGGAGTGACGCATTTACATCACCATCAGCACCACCTGAGACACCAACCTTGGGTGTTTCCACTGCTGGTGTGTCAACGTCCATGGATGCACCTCCTTCTGCAGAAACAGATGGACCTTCTTTCCTCTTTCCATGTTTCAATCCTTTGTGTCCATTGATGCCAGCTGCAACATCTGCACCTCCCCCAATCTGTACTTCACCTTTGGGGAGCTCAACATCCAACTCTGCCTCGGCAGGAGTTCTTTTTCTGAACTTGGGGAAAGACGATCGCTTCTTGTGTTTCTTTCCATTTATATTCAGCTTCACGTCTGGTGCAGAGACATCAAGGCTTGCACCTGCAGAGGGCATATCCCCACTTACGCCAACACCTGCAGATGCTCCAGATGGAATGTCAGCCTGAAATAAGATACAGTAATAATTGTTAGTGAGACTAAACAGATGTTGAAAAAAAATCAGTTTTTCTCAGCATTAGGCTTGTTTAAAAACCTTAGAAAATGAAACGCAGTTGGGGTAAAGGAAAGGTTTACAGAAACTGCAAAAAACAACCAAGCAATGAAATTACGATGTCCGATATTAAAAAGTATTGCATCTAATAAATTACGTTCCTGAAAATTGTTTTGCTTAAGGTCTCAAATGGTGTGCAAAACCGATGGGGAAGTGCCAGTGAAAATAAAAGCATTAATGGTGTAACTTTGATCAAACAGTATCATAATTGGGTTTTACCAAATCATAACATATTTGATTTTGTTCCCCACTCTGAATAGCTGTTCCAAATATTCTTTGTTCTTCAATTTTAAATTTCTTAACAAAAAAGTGGCTCCGTCATGGACCCAAGAAGGAATAAAAGAATAATGTAGGCCTTGCTTTAAAGAGTGAATATGTACAAAATTTAGGAAAACAGCTTATGTAGTTATTTCAGTGTCACTGTAAATGTAAAGGTCTCAAATGGAATGGTGCACGCAGGTGAAACAAACTTATATTTGTTTTTCAGATAAAGCAGTCCATGAATTCAAAACAAGAGACAGACATGCATTTGTGAATGTTTTGAATATTTACATGTACTTCAAAAGAATTTTTTTCGAATTCATCAATGCAACATGATAATAAATGCTTTTAGAATAGGAAGAAATGATATTGTAGTCCTGTGCAATTGTAGCAGAATTTATATATTCTATTTCTTGCCAGTTTGATAATCAAATATTTGTGATTAGTTTCCAAATGTTCAATCTTGTCTATTTCTGCACAGAACGTGTGTAGATCACAAGGAAAATCAGCAAACTGACATTCTGACAAGTATCTTTTGTGGGCTTTTTTCCAATTTGCGTTTCTACAGTGTATGGAGTGTTCCTCCTAAATTTCTGGGAAAAAAAACACATCTTTCTGAATGTCACAATATGGCAACACCATGGACATATCTATAACGACAGAATAGTCTTAAACCATCAAAAGAGGACAGCTTACCTGAAGGCCAGCACTTCCACCCAAATCTCCTGAAGCTCCACCAGACACACCAACATTTCCACCTGTGCAGAAAAACACGGGACACTTTCTTTAATTTGCAGTTTGGTGAATTCTCTGCTTAGAATAATGTGATATGAACTTTGAAAACTGTATTCCTTCACATGGTGAAAATTTAATGTTCTGAATTGTTTTAATGTTAATATATCAGTTGTGCCCACACTGGAGCTATTTCAAAACTTAACTTTGGCAGTGGAGACCAGTCTCAGCAAATGTCCCAGGTTTCATACAGTGTTAAAAATTTGTCACGTGAAAGGATTACATAGATATATGTAGCATCATTTTATTATTGTTGGCGTGCGTATCACGTATGTTTACACAACACTGCAGTTGTCACAACTTAACACACACAACATAGTGTGGCACATGACGGGGGGAGGGCAATGTTCCAGTCCCATCTCCTTTGACTAAAGCTTCAAATTTTGATCAAAACAGGCTGCAGCGAAGAGCCAAAGCCAGTGTTTGATACTTGTGAATGCCATAGTCTCATATGGCGATGCCCCACAGCATGTTGCCAACAGAGCGCAACCTAAATCATTGAAAATATTTCTTGTAAGGGTTTTCTTAAGATATATACCTAACAAATACATGTACATGTATATTTGCAAAGGATGTTAGTAAGGACATACATGATTAAGCCAAAAGTGCAAATATTTTAAGTCGGTTTTTATACAACGTCATCATTTCGTCACAGTTTTCATGAAGAGACCATTTTCTCATTGGATTACAAAACATAGGAAAACATAGAAAATCGCATTTGAAGTTGGTCTCTTTTCAAATGCTTAATTTTCTAGAATATAGCATTCCTTTAAATTCACCAATGCTACTTCATGAATGAGGGGATGTTAGAAGACACAAAACTAGTATTTCTATAAGTTAATTAAAGTTGTTTATTTCGTAAACAAACAAGATTGTCTGTTCATGAAATGCTAAAATTTGTGTGACTTTTTGGTCTTCGTGAAAATGGCACGCACAATACACACGTTTGACATAGCATGTGCCAAGTGCAACATTGTTACATTTGTATACATTTCTGGAGTCAAAATGTCTCTTCGTGAAAACTACAAAATCAGTTTTGCTCATGGTGTTGATCTTTTTGCCAACGTTTTATCTATAGAAGACAAAATTGTCTCTTCGTGAAAACCAAAAATGCATTTTAGTTGAATATTACACCACAAGGATTACCGTGATTTGGGTGATTTCAGTAGATTTGGTAAAGAATAATTACATTAAGCTGTAGGCATTGCATAGCCTAGTTGATTTTGCCAAAATACAGAAACTTGAAAAAAACCATGATTTGGGGTCAAATTGTCTCTTTGTGACAAACTGATGATTTAATGTCAACAGAAGCCAGTACCAATCCTCGATGCATTGTAAACTGACTATTATCGACACCATTAAACCCTACTGAAGTCTACACTGTTCAAATATCAACTGTACTTTCAGTCACAGAGTGAATTACTGTGACAGAATAAAAATCAATGTGCAACAGATTCAAGTTGTTGAATCTAGCCTTAATTAAAAAACCTTTGCAAGCTAATGAGCATCAGGGTGGACTTCGGTTCAGTTTTTGGCTTCCTTTTTTGTTTCACATTCTTGTTCAAACCCCGGGTACAAATGTCATGATTTTCTTAAAGGAACAGAGGAAATCAACAAATTTCACTGCTTCAAAAAGGCTACTGCAAATTTGATTACATAAGATCACTGAATAACAAAATAAGTCCATCAGACGTTTCATTTCCATCACAAAAGCTCGCCAGCATTCAGTGGACAGCCCTGAACACTAAGCAAAACTAACTTAGTTGACAAAGGAAACATGAATGATGTGCAAACACAACACCCTAACGAGATCATTCACTGTGAACATCATGGCCATGAAATAAATCCTGTTATCTGCAAGTCTGATTGGTCTAGATTATGTACATGGTCCTCACATCTTCAAAGACCTGACTACGACAAAGACTCTTACTGGAAGAAGTAAAATTTAGCTCACAGTACAGTTAGAGCATTAATGGTGAAACAAAATATCTTATTGATAGGTAAGATAAACAAAGTCCATCAGAAATTATTCAGTGATGGCCACTGGACTTGATACTGTTAAGGTTTTTCAAAATGTTGGTGTACAGAGAAAATTTGATGTAAATTAGCATCAGATGGGTTTGCAATTTTGCACAAAATCTTCACCAATGGGTCTGCTTACTATTTTTCTATAACATGTGTATCTAGAAAGCATTTTAAAGAATAACTTCTATGCATTTTGGTGCCCCTGCTCTCTCCTTGTTTATTTACACAAATGTTTCGGACAATTTAAAAACAAAATCCTCTAACCCAACTTGGTTTTAGCTGAAAGCATGGATTATGAGCAAGAGTAATTTTTAGTGAGTAATTCAGTAATTTTAGTACGCCCACAATTTTTACAACTGGTATCAATATCTTGTTAGCTTTGGAAATCTAATGAACACAGAAATGGGCATTTTCACTGTTTTAATACAATTTTAGTTCTATAATGGGCTAGGCTAGGTCATTGCTTGCAACCCTACTAGCCCATTTCAAAAACTTGTAAAGTTTGATGGAATACAATACATGTACATGAACAGTAAGAACATTGATAGAAAAGTGGAAACATGGTGCACAAATCTTGATCTTCAGAAATTTCACATCCATAACACTGTTTTCCGGCAGGCATTTTGTTCATGTCTCGGCAAAGTTTACTAGAACGCTTGTTGGGCTACATTTTATAACATCCAATTATATTTGTAATTATTTGAAACCACCTCCAAACAATTCTATTTGCACTTTTAAACGTTGAACATAATGCCAATTAATTCATTGAATTCCTCCCCAAGGCAAGTTTATTTATATTTTAATTACACGTATCAATCTTGTCATGTAATTATTTACCCATGGTAATTTCACGCGGGTTTACATACATACATGTATACTAGATTCCTGTGCTTAGTTTATAATACAAAATATCCTACCATGAGTAATAACTACAAGGAATTCAATCCACACACAAGTAGGCTAAATATACAAACTTATCTGACACCGTAAGTCTGAAAGACTGGTTTTAAATTTGGAGTCAAATTCCAGACAGAGCCAAAGCAAAACAAATACCTTTTTAAACTAGTTTGAATATGCCATTCCAAATGAGCCCTTTGTGTTAGAAGCTCATTGAGCAACCCTGTAGTCCGTTCTGTAAGGATTCTGAAACTTCTGAGGCTTCCTTATATGTACACGTCCTGCCTGGTTACAACAGCCAGCTCAATAATGACATTGACAACTGTGAGCTTGAGTTGAATACCAGGCGTGTTAATGTACATGTACTGTAAACCTATGATGTTAGCCTGCAAACATGTACTGTAGGTAGAAGTACATGTTCACCAGTTCAGTGAATTGAGGGAGTTTCACAATGTAGTCTTCGGTGAAAAACCTTCAAGAAATTTAATTGTAAAGAATACCTTCTAAACGTTACGTTCTCAATGTAAAATCTTGTGCAAAAATGAGCAGAATGATAAACTTGTGTCAAAAATTTGTCTGGCTATTGCCACCATTCCCAGAAGACAAAATTTCTACCCCATCCAGATGTTTTCTTCCAACATCTTAAAAAAAATTGATTGGCTTGTTAAACCTTAATCTTCTTGTTTAATTAACTAGATCACTTAAATTATTGTATTAAAACACTATAACACAACTACACTGGACTACATTTACATGACTGAGTTTACACAAGGCTACAGACTTGCTGCAAAGTTAATTTTGTCCATGGTTATTATGGAGCATTTTGTGGACTACTGCACATTTGATTCACAATAACTTCATGCAAATATCAAGAGACACAATCCCATGAGAAATGTTGCCTGGCATGCTCTACTGGTACATCTTTGTTGTGGTGTGCATGGGTGGTCACTGGTGTGATGTGTCAAGACTGTCAAAATGGCCCTTGTGGGTCTAATGTCAGAGGTCCAACCTAAAAGTGATTTTTCAAGCCTGCACAAATTCTGTGCTTGGAGGAAAGATGATTTTAACTTAGGGATTTGACCTTACAGCCACAAGTTAGGTCCAGTGTAGTTTGTAGCTTTTGTGTAAACAGATGAAAAACTGTTGCAGACTTAACCCTAACAGTCCCAAATCCTCCAATTTCAATACGATTTTACATACACATGGGTTAGGTTAATGAAGTTTAGTACGAGTGTGATATGGGTAGCACACAAATTTTTAAGGAATTCTTTTTAAAATCATATTGTTTTGGTTGCTGACATTGTACAAAATGATTTCTATATAAAAGCTTTTACCTGATCATGTAGGAGTCAGTGTAACAAATTTGAGTTTTGCTATTTTGATCAAAACAAATGCTACATGTACATGAAATCCTTTAAAATATACAAAGTTTCATCCATTCAGTCAGATTTTGCCCAGCTTCACAGATTTAATGGAGGGAATTTTTGTTTCTTGGAAACTTCACTCAAAGAAGCAAACTAAAACTTACTCATTTGTTTCCAGAGTTTAGGGTTACCCACAAAAATCCTCACTTTAAAGCTCAACTTAGCCAAACCTACTATTTCTAGGAAAATAATTTAAGGAAATAATCTTTGTTGTAAGAGCATTATCTCATGGATGCTTACCAGCCTCGATATCAGCATCCAGGTCCATATTCTCTGTTTCATCTGTCGCAAGCGGTGCAGCTATGTTCAAGTCAACCACTGCAAATACAATGGTTAAAAAAGTTATTCAGAAAGACAATCCATTACTTTCTTTGCCTCTTTTACTCAAGTTGGGAACAGATCATCATTTCCATAATTCTGTTATGTTGACCACTTGAGACAAAGACTACAGTATAAAGGCTACGTGACACATCTCAAATTTGACTGTAATCACATAGTTAATAGTGCTTCAATAGAGTAACAAAGTGAGAACATCATGCGCCCAATTAGTGTGTAAAAGGCATTAGCGCGAGAACCATTCGTTTGCACTGCACTTTCTGGTTCACAGTGACGTCACACTTCAGTACTCTATATTTGCCAATGCTCAAAAAGGCAAATTCCAAGCTTATATAGGACATTTCCAGTATCATGACTTGAAAACCATGATAGTTTTAAATTTAACAATTTTTCACCGCACTTATTTTTCCACCATTTTCTCACAAGATGTTGATTTGAAGTGCAGTAATAACTTAACGTAGATCCCTTGTCTAAAATCGACCTTGTTCTACTGAATGGTTAAACACGCAAGTCGGTCGTGGGTAAATTTTACAAGAGTTCACAACAAAAATCTACCAATTTAGAACCTCCTTTATCTCAAATGCCGTGCCCTGAAAGAATATATTTACCAAAAAGCTTGTAACGTGAATCACTAAACATTTAATGACATTCGTATGATAGAAATATCCTTAATTTGTTTTTTTCACTTCAAATTTACAAAGTTTGTGTAAAATACCCTCTGTGCAGACATGCCTTAAACACATGCCCCACAATAAATCAAGTGTTTATTTCTCACATCACTTAGCAACAACAACATTCATAACTGTAGCAGTAGAGGTCAGAGCAGGGATATAGAAGGAAGAATTTGTGGGAGCATACACACAGACCACAGGCTCCAGTTGAGAATCTGGGCCCCGTTAGATTACTAACAATTTCATCGGTGGTATGTTCAGCCTTTATCTGTGTGATCCTACAATTCTTTAGCTCTTCCACATTTACTCCAAAAGTCAAATATTTGTGTGATAAGGTCCAAGGAAATGTGAGCGAAGGCTCTTTATCCAAGATTAGTAAATTCCTACTAAGGTCAGACCAGGCAAAAATGTCTGTCGAGGGAAAATAGGCAGCATGTGGTTTCAACATTCCAGATCAGTTTCAGAGCTGTAGATAATGAAAATCTCCCCCAGATTAAAAATAATGATTAGAGTGTTTACCAACTGCTTGCAAATCTGCCATAATGTCCAGATACTTAGGGCTAATTATTGAAATGAACAATGTGTCATGTCCTCTGAAAAAAGTTTGTCTTGTCGATTTGACATTTTGAAACTTGAAGCAAGTGAACTTTGAATGATCAAGGATTTCATCGCCCCTCTCTTTTGTATCCTTTTCAAAAATAACTACGAAATGCAAACATGGCCTCGTTGACTGGAGTGGCCGCAGAGTTCATGTTGTATTACATACTGCAGGCAATCCCAAACACTAACAGTCCTGAATCTTTTAATTTCAACATGATTTTACATACACTATTGAGTTAGGGTTAGCAGCAGCCCACTATAAAAGATCGCATTGATGCATAAAAGGGAAGATTGAGCTATCAAATTTGAACGTCACAGGCCCGAAGCGTTTGTCTGGTCTGTCTGGAATTGCTAAAATTGCCACTCGTATAACAGTAAATATTCTAGGATTAGACGGCAACAAACACGCATACTCGGGGACTTGCATTCGTCCTATAGTTTGAGGGCAAACAAAAGACGAAGTAGTGTCATGTGAAAGCTGGTGAAGCTGTACAGAATGTACATCATGCAAGCCCCATTGTGACTTGTGCGGGCGTGGAGCTTTAAGTTTCACTTGCTAACATGGGGCCGGGGGTGCAGAGAGCATTATGCACGGTCGAGTGGCCTTGGTCACACCCCAGCCCCCGTTGAGTGGACTACGTGTGCAATCGACGTGCGCCTTTCGTAGAGGAACTCCCCATGCGCTGATGAACTGGGCAACATGGGAATGAACATAACTCGAATCGATTGCAGTTGTCCGCCGATGATTCGCTCATGAAAGAAGGAAACCGAATGTCCTTTTGAAAAAAATTAAATATTGTTGCTGTCCTCACTAGAACGGACACTATGTATACAGATAAATGCCAAATCTGCTTTGCTCAAAGCCCTAAACATGCTAAAACAGATCTCATTCCACCCACGTCACGTGCATGACGTGCTATGTTTGTTTCCTTCAAGTCCCTTAAAAATGCTTTTGAAAACATACAGAAAATACGTGTACTAACCTTTACTCGACAAGCCCGGACCGGCTAGTTTGAATTCAGTCTTGAACATTTTTATACCGTGAGCCAGCCGCACAAAGTCAAAATAATACAACCACAGATGACCGCAAATTCCGTTGACAAAGTTTTGTCAAGGTTCCCCACAATCTGCACAGTGGTGCTACCCACAGAATCTGACCTCGGGATCAGGCATTCCTGCGCCTGAACTACCCTAGGCTGGCCGGGCTTTTTCGGTCACCCTTCCAGTAAAGCCATTGGTCAGTAGGCAGTTCCTCGGCGTGGGTAACTCGAAACCCCATGTAACGAAGAATGCCGCGCCTATGTCCAATGGGGTGGTAGTCTTTTACTCATTAGATTGTTGAAGACATAAAAGACCCCACTCCAGAAACGCGGTCCGGTCCCACTGCACTCCCGACAGCTTGACAACGTGCTCGTAAAGAGAGCTGTGATTACATAGAAGGGGTGATTATATTACTCCTATAGGTAGGCCAACGGTAGGCTGTTTTTTCTAGGGTGCTGGCCGAGTATTTCCCGACTTAACTAAAGGATTACGCGACGCATGCTCTCTGAATAGCACTGCACATGCACAGTGCACCAGGGATTTACGCTCCAACGTGGTTTTGCATAATAGCTGCCGATTTCTTTTTGTTGCTGAAAGGGGGACATACCGAGCATAGTTAGTTGTGACCGCACAGGGGCGTTCAAAAGCTCAGATGCCAGGAAAACAATCGGGACAATGAAACTCTCTCTCTCTCTCCTCAACAAAATAACCTGCGTATTCTTGGGAAATGTTGCTGAATGGATAAGCAGGAGTGAAAGTTTCTGCGGGACCCCAGGACTGCACTGAAGCAGAAAGTAGAAAGACGTGGGCACCAACGCAAAGGAGTCACCAATAAGCGAGGGACTTTATCAATGACAAATGTATGAACTTTTTCTTCGTAAATTTCAGAAGCCTAAGTTTGATTCATCGACTTATCGCACATTATTACCATTAACCCTTACAGTCCTCGATCCTCCTATTTTAATGCCATTTTACATACATACTAGGGTTTCAAGAAATTGTTAAATTAATACAGTTACATTAAATCTTAATTACTTATAAGATAGTCGACCATCTTGATTTGAGAGAGACGAACCAAAATATATCCTTTAAAAAGAGTGAATACAGGTGATGAAATAAAGGTAAACCAACCACACAATGCTTTGATATATAACTCTTAATTCAAAAACCCAAAATGAAAGCACAGAAATTAAAAAGGATTGAGCACCCGTAATTCAACAGTGCCGCGATGCAGCTAGTATTTTCATGTAAATGACCTATTGCCACAAAACATAATGATGTCTTTGTGACTTTTATACGATTTATCATACAGAATTTGCCCGCACACATTGCCTTGCTCTTGGAATAGAAACAAAATGTATCATACGTAGAATTCAGTTTTAACACAGATGAATTTTTTCCAAATCTTGATATGTACAGTGTTCCTTAACTGCCATTTTCCAACATTTAATAGAAATTAAACGACGAGGAATAGCCATTCATTAATCTTTGCCGTTTTGTGCTTTTCATGACATAAAATTTACATCTTTAGGGGAAAAGCTCTTCGTCGAAAGTTTTTATATACTTATTTTTTTTCACTTTGTGAAGAACCTCGGTTATAAGTTACCTTCGTTTATCAGTGCGGTCAGTGAATGTGAACACATTTATACTGGAAACATGTAAGGTCACTATGCATTTAAACACCTTGTTTCTGCCTTCGGTTGAATAAGATATATCCGATTACTGGTATGGTATGCCCTTCAGAGGCATGGTTATCTGCCAGAGATATCTTTTAAAATAGACTGATTTCAGAAGCCCGTGGGGGTAGATATCAGTTATGATTGGGCTCTAGGGCGACGACGAGTATGCGCACAATCGCACGAACAACGTACATGTACAATGTACATGTATTAGTTTTGTTGGGAAGCACACCCCGTCCCCTCAAAACGCCGGATGTTGCTACGTTGAGCGGAAGTACCTGTTTTTACACCGATTCACACTAACAATAACGAAATTTCGCAGTGACAACATCTGGGATTTCCCCACTCATCACTGCAATCGGCTATATCGTGGGTTATAAATTACTTCCTGAATTGCCGAAGTTCCATTAACCTTGTATGCCAACAGGGCGTGGAATAAACTGCAAAATAGCGCATTTATAATTATTTTCTAGAATACCTTTGAAACTTTATAGTAAGTCGATAATTTAATAACCCCTTCCAGTAGTTCTCACAGAAATCTGGAACTCCCTCAAACAGCACTGCCAACCCGCCTGACTAGTCGCCAATTCTAGTAAATATTTTACGATGGGGGCGCAATCAGTGGGACTCTGGGGCAACCACATTTTCGCGCGTGTGATAATGAAGTTCCACGTCACAATCAGAGGTCAGACGGATTGAATTGGCGCAGATCCAGGGATGTCGACATTTATTTAGCTCCGTTGAGCAGCAGGTAGCGAACAACTGGTACACGATTGCCAAACAAAGCTCATTTCAGCAATACCTGGGAAAAACACAGTACTGTCTGGCTTATGGTGTCAGAACAACATGGATTCAAGGTCCCTCTCTTTTCGTGCGAAATGTGCATTGTAAAATGGAAGTTGCTCGAGTTTTTAAGGTCACGCAGGCCAACACGTATTAATGAGAGGGGTGTTATGTCGCCAGGCATTTGTTTATTTTTCCGGTCTGCTGC